TGGGGGATGTGGGAAGTAAGCATATTTTAATTACACTTGTGTGGGTCTTTTTCTTGAAAAAACACATTGTATTGAACACATTTTGTTAAACGTGAAATGAATGGTTTCTTTGGAGAATTTTTCTTGGTTACATTAGATGCAAAGATTGACCCCTTGTGGCTGTGTATGGTGACTGCAGGCGAGAGCATTTTTCCTGGGGCTTGGTTGAAGCCCTGGCTGCAGGCCTGGAATTGGGTACTGAGGCAAGGTGGGAGACCAGCTAATGGAAGCAGTGCAAGGTGCTTTGGCATGTCCACTGAGCTGAAATAGCTCATTCTAGAGAGCTTCTTTATGTCTCTGAAGTCTCAGTTTTATTCCAGTTACATTTTAATAGTAGTCCATGATGAGTGTGAGGTCACAGTTTCCATGGTAAGCTGTCGATCATCTGTCTCCCATCTTTGTTTTGTGAACCCAGGAAATCCAAATTTGGATGGATGTGCTTTCATGTTCTATTTTTCTAGTTAACGAAACGAAAATGTGTGTCTTTGGGATTAATTTGTTTTTAGTTACAGAGAAATCCAAACATCGGTTCCCAAGTCAAATATGTAACCATCTCACAACAATGCCAAGCATGTTGTTCCTTCACTGCAGCAGCTTTCTGCAGCCACCAGATGAAGAGAGGGAATATGTTCAGTCTAGCAACAGAGGGCTCTTCTTATTTTCTTGGCGTGTTTCACCTGGGGAATAAGATGTGTTTCACCTGGGGTCAGCAAGATGGCTTACTGGTAAAGGTAATTGTCTCCAAGCTTGGAAACCTGAGACAGGAGTTTGATTCCTGCAATGCCACATTCAAGCCTGGGGACTTGCCACATACAAATAAACACTTTGTTGTTGTTATTGGAGAGGAAGACAGAGAGAGACAGAGACAGAGAGAAAAAAAGAGAGATATCTCATAGGGGAGTTAACGTTGTATGCTGTTACTTCAGACATATGTTCTGAAACAGAAGTTGGGAACAAGATTTTGTTGGGGTTCAATGCCAATGAAGGATGAAAGGGAGAAGAGATATTATTTGGGTCGATGGAAAAGTCCAATTGCAGCCCCTCACCCAGCAGGGAATATGGAAAGGTTACAGCCCACCTAGAGCTCTACCTGTAGTAGAAACAACTGATCCTTCTTGCCATTCTGGACTACCCTGGCACAGTTGTTATCCAGAGCAGAAGTCAATAGTGAAGTTTCCACCAAAAGCCCAATATAGCTCATTGGCTGTCATGAGGGGATAAAGGGTTCTCACACTGCCCTCTCTCCCATCTTTCACAGTCTTCCAACACCCTCCCACATGTAGCTAGGCACGGTTCTGTCGTTTGTGCAGAAGGCTGCTCCTGCTTTCTGAGTTGTGTCCTCCAAACCCATTGATCCCTGTGCAGTACTAGTAGACACACACATCTCTTGCCCTGGGCCTCCTTAAAGGTGTCTTCACTCTAGAAGCCATGCTAGTCAGTATGATCTTCCCAGACATAGAATTATTCTGCTTTTTTAAGTATGCATATTACTAGTAAAATTATAAAAAGCCCAGGACTTGAGCAAGTAGATAGAAGACATGTTTAATCCATATTACAGTGCTGTTCATTTGTCAGTGACTGCCTGGAGGAGAGCTGTGTTTACAATCCTGAGACTCATTCTAAACTCAGCAAAAAATGTCGCACTGGTAAACTTGGTGGTCACTCAAGAAACAGGTAATATAGATTTTAATGTTTGAATCTGTCCTTGATACTCCACATAACGACATCTGTGAACGTATATCCAGAGTGAGATCTCCATACCCTAGGGTTCTGTCTGATGGCTCAACCAATTACAGGCTGGATATAGTTCTCTCTCTCTCTCTCTCTCTCTCTCTCTCTCTCTCTCTCTCTCTCTCTCTCTCTCTCTCTCTCTCTCTCTCTCTCTCTCTCTCTCTCTCTCTCTCTGTGTGTGTGTGTGTGTGTGTGTGTGTGTGTGTGTGTGTAGGTGGGCATTCTTATCTGTGCATGAACATGTAGAGAGAGTGGGGTTGTATGGCTTCCTCTTGTCTACATGACTGCTTTGACAGAGTGTACTTCAGTGAACTGGAGGCTCACTGATTTGTTTGTTTTGTGTTTGCTAGACTGACTAGCCATCAGGTTCTCAAGAACTGCCTGACTCTGCTCCCCAGTGCTGAGATTACAAGCACACCACATGCAACCAAGCCTAGTTGTTTTTGTGTATAATGAGTGCTGGGGGTTTGAATTCAAGTCCTCATGCTTGAAGGGCATGAACACAAGATCCGACTGAATCATCTGCACAGCCTGGAACTATTAACGATGCAGATGTGCTGGGCGTATTCAGACTTTCCCTTGCCATTATTCCATAAACAATATTGCATAATAACTATTGTGTAACATTTGCATTTTATTAGGTTAGTGTTTAAGTGATCCGAGATGAAAAAAGTATATGGGGTAATGTGGAGGTTGTATGCAAATACTAACCCAGAGATTTGAGCATCCACCAATCTCCCTATGGGTTAGGATCCTGTGGCCAATCTCCATGGGTACTGAAGGATGACTTTCTAGGAATGAATTCCTGTAAGGTCCTTGGGGATCCCTAGTTGTGGAGTTCAAGCCCATATAGATAGATGCTCTGAAGTGAGGATGAGGTGTCACATGGTTTTCATTTAAATTTAGACACAGCTCATTAATCTTTGTGAAGGACTATGCATCTCCCCACCACCCCTCTACCCACCATGTTGAAAAGCAAATGAAGTGAGTAGCAGCTGACGGACTTCACTGGTAACTTCTGTTATTTATAAACACTTCAAGTGGCTTTTTACCTGTCCCTAAGGGAAGTCCTTAGAGATCATATTGTTTTATGCTCTTTACATAACAGAAATCTCATTTCAAGCAAAACGACACAGAATTAATGAGGCAATTCAATGTCCCGCAAATGCAGAAGTGAAAATTTCATCTTAATTTAGCCTCACATGTCTCACAGCTTGAGCTTGTCCCTGTTTGGTCCCCTATGTGGGGTCAGTGTCTGCTCATTTCCCACTCTGTGCTTTGGGACCCTCTTCCTGCAACCACAGCAATTGTGGCTCCTTCGGAGTTAGCACAAAGTGGGGCAAGAAGTGGCCTGGGAAAGAGGAGAACTGGTTCTGCCCTAGACATGAGAGGTTGAGCTCAGAGGATCTGTCAGGTGTAACATATTAAAAAACTGTATATCATAGAAGCCACCATTTCCAAGTGTTCCCAAGGCTGCACAGCCATCGCCACCATCGAATCTGCTGAGACTTTTCTCCATAGAAAAGAAAACCCCATGGAGTAGGCAATCTGCATGGCTACCTCACCTGCTTCACAGCAACCTCACCCTGCATCCTCTCTCAATTGCCTGCTCTCCCTAATCCATGTAAACAGAACTAGACAATGTGTGGGATTCGGATTGGCTCTTCCACTTACCATAATGTTTTCACAAGTTCATTCATGCTTTGGTAAGAACCAGCATGCCATTCCTCTTCATGCCTCAGTGACTGTTCATTATATGGACAGCACAGTTTAGTGTGGACCCCGAATCACTGGAAAGCCAGTCCTCAGTGCAACAACTATTAAGGGGTACCTTTATAAGCGACTAGGTCATTAGAGCTATTATGTATGAACTAATGTAATTACCAAGTTCTTATTGTCCCACAGGCCTTCAAAAGATGTTGCACCTAGCAATGAAAAATAAGTAACCTTTTTCTCTTTGAAACTTACCAACTCAGTGCTACTATGTTGTAGTAACATTAAACGGATGATGACAGTGAGAAAACCATATTTTTGTTTAGATATTTGTTAGTTGTTGGAAAAACTGTTTCCAATTTCTTTTACTATCATAAATAAATTATTAAAATGATGTTACTATGAGCTTTCAGGTATAAGTTTTATGTTGCTTTGTTTTATTTTGTTTCGAAACGGTATCTCTTTGTGTAGACCAGCTGGCATGGAATTCATTATGTAGCCCAGACTGGAGTCAAACACACAGAAATCCTCCTTCCTCAGTCTCCTGAGGGCAAGGATTACAGGTGTGAGCCATCATACCAAGTTTTTATTTTTTTTTTCAGTTCTCTTGAGTTCATATCAGGAGTATAACTGCCAGGCAACATGCTAACTCTGCATCTCACATTTCTAACAATTCTTCATTTAACCCACCATACTGCTTTCCACAGAATCCACATTTCTTCAGTCCCATTACAGTAAGTGACCTAGCATCCTTACCTCTCCATCAAGACTTGCTTTGTGCCAGACTCAGGGTGTGGCTCTTGCTGATGCCTGTTGATGATGCTGATAAGCATCTCTTCCTGGTTTATTGGCCTTTCATGTGTCTTGTTACTTGACCAGGTACAGATCTGAGTTGTTTTGCTGTTGACTTTTAAGTGCTTTTCATGCTTTCTGGATTGAAGCCTCTTTAATTTAGATAAACAATGACATATTTTCTCCCACTGGGTGTTATCTGCTCAGTTTTTTCTTTTCTTTTCTTTTTTTTTTTCTTTGGAAGGGTCATTTGGTAGAGAAATGAGATTTTTAAAAAATATATATATTTAAGTCTGATTAATCCATCTTCTTTGGCTAATTGCGCATTTGATGGCATAGCTAAGATATTGTTGCCCAATCCAAGGTCATAAATATTTATTTACTATATTTTAAGAATTTTATGTTTTTACCTTTAACATTTAAATTCTGGAGTCATTTTGGACTAACTTCTTTATATGATGGGCAGAGTGGCCTAAGCTCATCCCTGTGCATATCCAGTTGCTCAGTCTCATTTGTTTGAGGGACCATTCCTTTTGCATTGAGAGGTCTTAAGAACCTTTTGAAGATGAACTGACTGTGGATATACAGGTTTGCTTCCGGACCTCAATTCCATTCTATGCATCTCCATCTCTGTCTTTATGCCATCATCATATGTCTGGCATAGCTTTGCTATCAGTTTTGAAATTAAGAAGTATGTTTTCACTCTCCAAATTGGGCCTGGCAAAATGGCTCCTGCAAAGAAGGGTGGTGAGAAGGGCTGTTCTGCCATTAATGAGGAGGTAACCCAGGAATACATAATCAACATTCACAAGTGCATTCATGGAGTGGGCTTCAAGAAGCCTGCCCCTCTGGTACTCAGGAAAATCTGGAAATTTGCCATAAAGGAGATGAGGACTCCAGATGTTCACATTGATACCAGGCTCAGTAAAGCCATATGGGTCAAAGGAATAAGGAATGTTCCATACTGTATCTGTTTATGTTTGTTCAGAAACTGTAATGAGGATGAAGACTCACTAAACAAGCTCTACACATTGGTGACCTACATGCTGCCACCACATTCAAAATCTACAGACAGTCCCTGTAGATGATAACTAACTTGCTGAAATAAAGTTGCAGAAGTGCCTTCAAAAACAGTGCATTTTCTAACTCAACTATTTTTCATAGCTGTCCTTGCTATTCTGAGTCCCTTGCCATTCTTAAAATTCTTCACAGCCTGCTTCTTCCTACCAGTAAAACAGGAAGATGAATTTTTAAAGAGTTTGCATTGAATGTGCAGCTCATTTTCACAAGCACTGCTATATTAACAATATAGAGACTTCCAGTCCACGAAGAGGTGAGACCCCACTTCTTTTACAAATGCTCTACACTTTTCAATATATCAGCCTTGCACTTTCTTGACTGCATTATTTCTACGCATTTTATTCTTTTTGATACCATTATAAAGAGAAAGGTTTTTCTTAATTCCTCACTTAGATGGTCATTGTCAATACAGAGAGATACAGTGGAGTTTCTATGTTGACCAGTGAATTTGTTTCATTAACTCTAATGCATGTGTTCGTTCTAGGCTTTTGGTGTTCTGTATAAAGACATGCCATCAGCAAATAGACATGCCTTATCTGTTCTTTCGAAGTCTTGACATCTGATTATTTTTCCAATCTGTCTGTCTGCCTATGATCTTCACTACAATGCTGAAGAGAACTTGTAAAAGTGGGCCACTCTGCTTGTTATGATTCAATATAAAATGTCCCTTCAGGCTTAGCATTGAAGGTAGTGTCTCTAGCTGGAGAAGTTATTTTTGAAAGTTCTAGAAACTTCCAGAAATGGTGCCAGGCTGGAGGACACAGGTCAGGAATGTGTAGTAATGAGAGTGTGCCCCCCCATCTCCTGGCCCCTGTGAGGTAGCTGCTTTTCCCCATCTATGCTTCCTTTATG